TGGTGATGAGAGTCACTGACCCGCTGCCCCCCGCACGCCCCCTGCTGGGGAACGAGCCCGCAACCCGGGCCTGTGCCCCGACCCGGAATTGAACCGCGACCCCCTGGGTCCTAGGTCGGCGCTCAACCGCTGAGCCGCGCCAGCTGGGCACAGCCGGTGTCTTCCCTGGGATGTTCCTGGTGCCCTTGGGGCCCCCGGAGTCCAATTGCACCTTGACTGGCGTGTTTTAATCTTCCTGGGTGAGATCTGCCAGCTCGTTGGCTGCTCCTCCCGGTTGTAGGTGCACAGTGTAAGGACAACTCCTGGAGAGGCTGGGGCCACGCCTTCCTTTCATGTTTATGAAGCTGCCCTGAGTTCTCTTGGACTGGGTTCTGGGGGTGCACTGGTTGTGGGAGTGCAGGATTTACTGGGTAGGTGGGACAGGCAGCCTCAGAAATAGGACTGGGCAACACAGAGGGCCCGGAGCCTGGGCTGGGCTTCTTGCCAGGGGCTCTGTGGAGGTGCCCAGATCCAGGGTGATTTGCAGAAGACTCACCACTTTACAGGAGTGTCCCCTGCGACCCATCCTCCTGATCCTCTTCCCCAGATTCTGGACTGGACTCAACTTCTCAGCGAATGCACTTGGCTATGCAACAGATGTCTGAACCTCATCGTCAAAATGCTACTCCTGACCCTCGCTCCAACCTGCCTCACCTAGGCGTCTTCATTTCAGGTGAGGCCGTTTCCCCCACCCTGCTCAGACTCAAAACCTTCAGGTCACCTGGTGACTTCTCACCCCTCCACTGCTCCACCTCCATCCCAGCCTGCACTTGTTCTCACCTGCACCTGCTCTCATTTGCTGCCCACAGCCTATTCTCCACAGCAGCTGGATGCTCTTCTGCTCAGAACCCTCCAGCGGATCCATCTCAAAGCCAAGGTTGTCTGCACTCCTGCTGCCCTGGACCTAGATGCCCCACCAGCACCAGACATTGCACAACCCTGTGCCACCATCCTCCAGCCTTGCCATCTGAGAGCCTTTACACCTGCCACACCTTTGCTCCAGTCTCTGCAAGACCCCTGTCCTCACCTCCTGTGTGTCTTTGTTCAGATGCCGCTTCCTCGGTGAGGCCCGCCTTGACTCCCCCAAGCAGCATCCCATGTCCCTCCCCACCTTTTCCATCATAGAGTCAGGTGCATCTTACCTGTGTGCTGCTGTCCCCCACTAGCATGAAGGCCGTGTGGGGAGGACTAGGACCTGCTCTGTTGGCCCTGTAAACACAGGGTGTCCCAGAAACGTACACACTTTAATTGTTTTTAATCCTCACCTGAAAATATTTTCCCTGATGATTTGTAGGGGGGAGGGAGACATTGGCTTGAGAGAGACAAGTCGATTGGTTGCCTCCCGCATGGGCCCCATCCAGGGCCAGGAATCAAACCTGCAACCGAGGTGTGTGCCCTTGACCAGGAATCAAACTTGGGACACTTTGGTCCATGACTGGCGCTCTAACCACTGAGCCAAACTAGTCAGGGCCACACTTTGAATAATTATAAATTCCAATCTTTCATCTAACCCATTGGAATTAATAATTACTCAAAGCGTGTATACGTTTTTTGGGGACACCCTGTATTTGCTGAATGGAGGCGTGCACGTTGAAGCCTGAGGAAGAGGCCTCAGCAGCAGGAGAGGGACGTCGGCCACTGTGGGAACAGGAGTTGGTTTGAAGATGTTACCAAACAGCAGGACTTGTTAGAAACTGGCATTGCCAGGACCGCGAAGCCCTTCTCTAGTGACCATGACCCGGGAGGCTCGAGGAGTTTGCTGCACAGTCTCCCATTCAAGGCAGCTCACCTGTGTTTCTTAGTGGAAAACAACTTGGAAAAATACAGAAATGGTGAAATCCACTGGACGTGTTTCTTCCAGTCAGAGAAAGACAAACAGTGTATGATCTCAGTTACATATGGAATTTAAAGAACAAAATAAACGAACAAACAAAACAGAAACAGACTCATAGACACAGAGAAAAAATTGATGGTGGCCAGAGGGGAGGGATTTGGGGTCTGGGCCAAAGAGGTAAAGGGACGAGAAGTGCTGATCGGTAGCTACAAAACAGCCATGGAGACGCAGAGACAGCACAGGGAATGTAGTCAATGATACCGTGATAACTGTTACGGTGCCAGACTGGGAAACAGCAGGGGCGTCTCTGTAAATTATGTAATTGTACACCTGAAACTCAGTAAAAAAAAGAAATACAGACAGGTTCAATCCAGTTGGGCCAATTCCTATTAATTCTGTTTATCAATTTAAAAGATAGTCAATAAAGCCCGGCCAGTGTGGGTCAGTGGGTTGCACCTGAAGGTCATGGTTTGAGTCCAGGTCGGGGCACGTGCCCAGCTTGCAGCTTCAATCTCCAGTAGGGGGCGTGCAGGATGCAGCCAATGATGTTTCTCTCTCATCCATGTTTCTATCTCTCCCTCTGCCTCTCTAAAATCAGTAAAAGCATATTTTTAAAAAATACCTTAAAAAAAAAAAAAGTCGGTAAGGACATTTTAGAGGTTTTTCAGTCCATTTACACCCTCGTTGACTTCACAGGTTATAGTTTGTGAACATGAATCCTTGCTGGGGTTGAAAAACAGACAACAGAACATCCCACCATTGGAAACGGATGTTTTGCTTAAGCTCACATGGGCTTGTGTTTGAGGAGCCGGTTGCTGGGATGCTTCAGCTCGAGCCCCATGCACAGTCTGTCGCTGTGACTGTCTGAGTGCCAGTGTCTCTGGGTGAAGTATGTCCCAGGCCTTTTCCTCTGCTTAGTGGGCAGAAGTAAAGGGCCCCACGGGGACCCAGGGGCTCCGTGCAGGAAAGGACTGGCCAGCATCCTGACCAGGTCCAGGGCCACCCTGCCAGGCTGAGCGCAGACGTGTATGTGTGTGGCATTGTGCAGGAGGTTTCCGTGTATGATCATGGGAGATGGAAAAAGGCTGCTTGAAAGGACATAAGGCCTTTGAATAAAAAGTTATGTCTCCAGCCCTGGCCAGTTTGGCTCAGTGGTTAGAATGTCAACCCACTGGCTGAAGGGTCCTGGGTTTGATTCCAGGTAAAGGGCACATCCCTGGGTTGCAGGCTCGATCCCCGGCCTGCACAGAGCACATGCAGGAGGCAACCAATCGATGTCTCTCTCACATCCATGTTTCCCTCCCTCCCTCCCTCCCTCCCTCTCTCTCTCTCTCTCTCTCTCTCTCT